CATTATCGCTGAAGGAAATAAACCAGGCAATAACGACAAACAGCGATACTGATGCGAAAAAGACAATGATCTGAAAAAGAATATCTTTCCACCTGAAATTTATAGATTGAAGTGCAAAATTTAGAAAGTGGATACGATGAAAACGAAATTTGAGTGGATACGATGGATACGATGAAATTGCATTTGCTGATGATATCTTAAATAGGAATTTAAATAAATTAAAATTTCGTAAATATATAAAAAGCCTTAAATTAATTTTAATTACTAAAGATTATAATAAATTGTGTTTCTTTAAATTTCTTCAAAAACTGAATAAAAAACCATTGAGAGAGAGAAAGAGAGAGAGAGAGTGAGAGAGAGAGAGAAAGATTGAATTGTCAAATGAATTTCAAAAAGAATACCGCAATAAACGTAAGTATTGAAAATAAATGAACAGGACTTAATATTTTACCTGAAAGGAAAATAAATCGGATTTATTAGTTCAATTGAAATGTATAATTAGGATGAAATTCTCGACCACAAATTATCACATAAATTAAATCTATGAAATTATATAACATTCGATAGAATGGTTTCGATTATATCGTTGTGATATTCAATATAATTTTAAATTGAATCACATGAAGATGTAATTTCATAATTAGTCTAAATATATATATATACGTTTCTGGCTATTCCAAGGATAATTTTTGGCCATTTAATTGGCCATATTTGTTATCACATCACCAACATTATCATTATCTCATTATCATTCACCAATCATTATCATCATCACCATTAATCATTATTTATCTTCATTCATCATCGTTCGTCATCATTTATCATCATTATCATCATCATTCATCAATAATCATCATTATCATTCATAAAAACATGAAAATGCCTGAAATTTTAAGCGTTCTAATGGTATCAAAATTTATCGCCATCCAGTCTCAGGTTTAAGTGAAGAAATCTTCCGAAATGTTGTACAAATCTGGTAGTGACACAAGGTAACATCCAACTTCCGAATATTATATAAAATTTAAAGGCACTTGCAGTTCACATAAAGGTATAATTACGAAATAGACTTATTTAGACATTACTTCATTTGCACACTTTCACAATTTTTAAAGCGAAATTAAACACATCATTATAAGACATACCAGTACTATACTGTCACCATATGGCACTGAGGATTTGCAAATGAAAAAGTTGGTCACTAACGGAAACCATTGCTTGTTTGGCATATGACAGGAATCAATGAAAATGTGGCCATAATTTTGCCAATATATTTGTTGGAGCTAACATAATTAAGGCTAATTTTGGACCACAAAACTGCCGGCATTTTTTATTCATGAAATCAGAGAACCGAAGATCATATTGATTTTTAATCAATTAGAATTTTTTGAAAATAAAAAAAAGAGAACATACTTTGCCATTCCAAACTACGAAATACTACTACTTCATGCTAATCAATCTATAAAGGTTGATTAGCATGAAATTCATGCTAATCAACCTATATATATATATGCATTATTTCTTTAAGTATAAAGATGCAGCAAGACACAGTTAAAGTAAAATATATAAGCATATGGAAACATACCACAAAACTAAACTTGAAAAATATTAAAGTGGAAAACTGTAGTATAAATAAATTTTGCCACATTTCGAAACACACATTCAACAAGCATTATCCAAAGCATTATTCAATACGACAGAATAGTAACAATTCACGATATCATTTCATTCTGTTGTTTATGAAATAGATTGGCTGCACCAAATGAATCACATCAGCGAGATGCACCATATGAGGTACTATTTCTACAAAAATCCACCAACTAATTAATTATCCAATATCTTATAGTGGAACTTCAGTACAGTGAACACACTGCTGCATTCAGCAAGAGAATTATTCTTCACATAAAAAAGAAAACTTGAAAGCTCCTAGTGGAATTATCCCATTGCTTCGTTTCATACACTTCGATGAAGTCTGTCAGAACAACGAAATATCAAATTTAACACAAACCATGCAAGAATTCAAGTTTATCGTTGTCTTGAATATGAAGTAAGTGCATATTGAATCAATTAAATATAAGCCTCCATTTGCATGTTTCGGCGGTGAGGCGCTATTCCTCTGTTGTTTATCTCTTATCAATGAACCGTCTGCCGCAGTTACCACATTAATATTTGCTGCAGAATGTAGTGGCTTTGGTAATGCAGGAGAGAATTTCCCAAAACAACAACAAACTTTAAAGACGTAATTTAGATTTTTTCTTCTAATTCTTGAAAATAAAATTAGTAAGAATCTTAATTACAGTATTCAATGTAAATCATTTTGATATAGCACCACGATATACTCCAATTCTGATGATGGGCTTCTCAAATGGTATTAGCGCTCTGGCCGGTATCAGTGGTTTTATTCTGGAACACTTCGTTGCTGAGAAGGTCTATCATTTTTCTCGAAATTAGTTAGATTGCGCTAAATTAGTGAAATTACGCTCTCAATGTTACCACGATATGCTTCAATCAATTCTGAATTTCTGATACACTTTTGGTCCGACGCAAGGATCAAAACCAGATTTATTGAAGCTTCAACTTGCCCTATAAACATTTAGATCCAGCATCACGGATCAATTCCATCATCAATAGAAACTGTAATAGACAATAAAAAGCGATTAGATTTCACTATTTAACACTCTAAAAGAAAATCAGCCGATCACGTCACCAGCATGATTGGGAACTGATGAAAACCAATTAATTCATTTGATCAAGTATACCTTTAAATGCTAAGCATTTAAACTATTCACAAAAAGGTATCCAACTCCTCAACCACGAATCGAAAAAATCCAGTGTAGCGAAGCAAGCTGAAGGATATCGTTTCTGATAGCGACTGCGATTAATTTCACTGCTATGATCACATTTCTCATACTCGCTAAGGGAGAACATCAACAATGGGCCAAGGAAAAGGAGCCTCAACAAAGCATGGAAGATATTGTTCGCCGATTATGTTAGTTTTATTTGCGATTCGGTCAAAAAGTTATCTGGAGAAAAAAAATCACATTTATAGTAACAAGTTGAACAAAGTTTATCTTCAGCTCCTTCGTACAAAATCTTTTCGTAAAGTCTGAAACATCGTGATGACAAAAAAGCAAACACTTTTTGAAAACTATAATCAATCCCACAGCTTGGTGTGGTTAAGCCTATTTTAATTCCACTTTTGGATGAAGATTTTGGTGATTCAACTATTTACATTACGGGTTTCGTTTTCATATCACGACGATTATTAATTGCTACTTGTTAAGAATACTTATTAAGGGAAAAAGGAGAGAGGAGAGTCTTTCCTTCCCTAAATTGTTTTATGGATCATTGTAATTGTCAATAATCTTCTTTCTTTTTCTTGACAGTAAAGTTAATGGGTGAAGAATGAGCAATTGGATACGGAATCATTGGACAAATTGATAAAAGAATTGGGTAATAAGCGCCATTCTGACATTCATTTTCATCAACTTGACATTACCGATCGCAACAGTTGCGAGAATTTTGCTTCCTATTTGAAAAAAGAACACAATGGATTGGATGCATTGATTAATAATGCAGGATTTGCTTTCAAAGTGATTAAATAACTGATAAGAGATCTTTTATATTTTCATTTCGAAACGAATAATATAAGAGATAGGATCGCAACGTTGATTGTATACAAGTATATTTAGAAGAATGAGCAATTGATTTAGTAAAGTTCAAATAATTATTTGTCTGTGTAACATGATTATATTCGTTTAATTACTTGTAGTGAAACAAAAGGGAATGGGTGGGAAGACTGTTAAAGATTGCAAGGGGAGCATGTGATTTTTACTGTTACGAAAAATTCATTCCAATCTGTTTGATAGTTCAGTACACTCAAATGATATATCTGTAATCATTTCCATTGCAAATTCACTTTAATTGGTTATGGTAATGCTTACTTCAAATAGAGCATTGTAAAATATACTGTATTCTAAGCATTTTGATAAATGTTGATACAATGTAAAACCTCTCAGTTATTCAAAATCGATAGTAGACAAGTTCATCTCAAATTTTCACAATTCATTAAACTTATATGGTTTGAAACAAAAAATTCTAGTTAATATACATTATCACTATTACAACACTGAAGAATTGATAAGAATGAAAACGTTGCAAAAGCTTATCTTTTTAACATAAAAATTTTAACTGAACCTACTTTAAATATTTGATGTATTAAATTAAAGAAATCAACACGATCACTTCCACATTTCAGCGATCATTGCGGACTTCAGAAGAACTTTTTTCATTCTTGGCAATGACTGCCTTACATTTGCTAGTTAAAAATTTGATAACAAGACTTACTCTTACGTAGTGATCTACGTAAGTATACAAAATGCCTTCTGACTATTCCATACGGTATACTTCAGTGAAAATTGTCGGTATGTTTTTTACAGTCCACTATTAGGCAAAAATTGGGTGAAACATTTTTGCTTAGAGCTAGTATTAATCGATCGAGTATTGATAAACTAAAATATTTCTTAATTTTCATCAAAAAAAATATTTCACTTCAACATGATGAGTCTTATCTTCAAGTATCATAATAAGCATGAACGACTTCGCAGTCCAAGAACTGAAATAACGAGCTATTACTTCTCATATTTCTGTGTTTCCATGATCCCTACTTTTAGCATGATCAATAGTCAGTTTCTTCTTGGAGCAGTGACTGGAATACTTGCAGTCGTGATAGGAGTAACCGTTTCACGACAACAAAGGTTTTTATGGATGCATTCCGGTAATAATTCTTTTACGCGGCATGCAATATCATCCTGCTTTATCATGACTGCAGCTACATTTGTTAATGGATTAAAATTACAGCTTATTGCTACTGCTGTACGGATAAATTTGGAATAGTGAATTGTTGGATCGTCGTCATTACCCTCCGTCAACAAATTCGTGCACAATGGTATCACGTAGAAGATCAGTGTAAACACGCAGGAAACACCCATTGTAATGGTAAGTTTACGCTGACGTGCTTCAAATAATTGTAATGACGCTTCCTGAAATATACAATATTGGAGCATTCAGACCATTCAAAACTGTTATTCCACAGATTTCTGGGAATAACCGGTCTGACCATATTGATTATTGATTCCATCTAATGTATTAGAATCAAATTATCAATATTAATATTTCGATCTTGCGGATTTGGTGAGTTATTTCACTTAGCAATTGCAATCGTAAGTCGACTAAATTTTGGTACATTTTAAATATTATTATTTTTTTTTGCTTCGTTTTAAGATTGTTTTGCGAACGAGTCAAGTTAGAATGTTAAATTAGGCCGTCATTATTATTATTTACTTGTTGATCAAAGAAATGGGTGCAGTAATTGCTGGTTGTAATATTTGAATTCAAAATTAAATTTCAGGAATGGAAAGACACAGTCCCAACTGAATAAGGAAATGGACGAATGGAACAATCAGAAGAAACGGTAAATATAAGTATACCGGTCGATTGCTTTTTATCCGGTGAAGTTGTCTTCTGCTCAGGAAATATACAACCACGTAGAGGATGACACTTAAAGATGTAGTAACAATCATCAATAAAAGATGCAAATCAGCGAAAAGCGGATGTAGAATATCACCTGTCCTGAAAAGGCTTCTATCATAGAATGTTCGACGATGCGATTTACAGAGTTATCTGTGACGAACTATTGAGTTTACCTACCAACAAAAGCCATGCAACATGGTTTCATTATCGCTGAAGGAAATAAACCAGGCAATGACGAAAAATAGCGATACTAATCCGAAAAAGACAATGATCTGAAAAAAGATATATCTTCCACCTGAAATTCTAGAATCAGATTCCTTTTATAAATACAAACTTTTCACCTAATTTTGATATTTACTTGTAAATTTGCAGGTACTTTTAATTTATAGATTGAAGAGCAAATTTTTAAAATGTGTTTTTTAATGATTTATTTAAAAATTGGAATTTTTAATCTCTGAATTAAAAATGAAGGCTAACCTGCCTGATTTGATATACATAATTATTCTCAAAATATCGTACGGGTGACATAAACAAAATGATGCGATCCGTACTCACCAT